AGTGATGGTTTGCATACCCACATGCTGATCATTTCTAAGTCGTGCTGGTTGAGAAGAGGAGGGGTAATCTTGTTTCCTTTCTCTTTTTCTTTTCTCATCAACTAGACTAAAAGAGCCACTTGGCCTTAAGGCCTAGACCTTAGGATTCCTGTTTGTTCTCATGGTACCTGGTGTAGGGCCAGTCCATCATATATCCTCTAGACAAAGCCTTCATTAATTGGGATTTTCCCAACTTGCTTTATCTGGTTGGTCTTTGCATTGGTGCAGTTAACACGAGCTTCTGGATATAGGTTGGGTCACCATGAAATATGTCTAAGACATTAGGAGCAAATTTTATATCTTCCCTTTGATGTCTAAAGACAGAAGGGAGTGTAGAGAGGATCCCAAGTGGCACCTGACCTAACAAAAGATCCATGAGAAATGAAAGAGATAAGATGGAAAACCACCGCTGAATCCAGGTGTAAGAATGCTGGCCTGCTTCTGATCCTCGCTATGTCAAGGTCCAAAGGCAACGCCAGGTGATAACATGTCCTGCACCTGAGTTGATGCTATTTGCCTGCCCACACAAGCCTCTTCAGGCACAGATTCTCTCCTGTGTAGGAGCAGCAGGACCTCTTCTGCAACCATCATACCAATGTTACCTCGCCACCCAGCATCAGCCTAGCTCCACACCCTGACTGAAGCTCAACAAAGAGATGCTGTTCAGTGCTAAAGGATTCAGTCATCAAGATGGAATTTTAGGGTTTAGGTAATCTTGGGGACTTGTTTGGGTTACTAGGCTTTTATCTTTGATCTGATCCCTAGAACTATCTTATAATAGGGTATATCCGTGGGGACTAAAGTGAAGCCATTTGGGCTATTATTTCAGTGACTCCTAGGAGCTAGTTGATATTCTGTCTGTTCATGTCTGGAGCAAGTGGATTAGAGATTGTGCATCTTGTGCTGATTGTTACAGTAGATAACATTGAATGCTGATTAAATTGCTATCAGATTGCATAACCCAGATTTTTATTTTAATTTATAAAAGCTTTATTTTGTTTGCCACTTCTCCAAGCTGTCATTTAACCTACAAGCTGCTTGTCTCCACACCTTGTAAAGAAATATTTAATTTGTATTCAATTGATTGATACCTACCAAAGTTCACCATTGAATTTCTGAATACTTCCTGTCATCCATTTATCCACCCAGCCGTCCATCTAAGCTCTATGAAGTGCCCTCTGTAAGGCACTCAATATCAACCAAGATAGTCATTATTCTATGTGACCCAAAATCTCACTGGTTTTCACAACAGAGATTGATTTCTCAATTGTCCTGCATGTCCCTTGTGGGTCAGCTGTAGCTCTGCTCTGTGTTGGGCTCAATCTAATAGATGGAGCAGCATCTGTCTGCATCATTGCTCCTCTTCAGAGCAGAGGAGGAAAAGAGAGCAAGGTGAAGTTCCATGCTAGCTCTTCCAGCTCCCTGCTGAAGTGGCACGTGGTCCTTGCCCAAAGCACATCACGTGGCCACACTTGAGTTCAACAGGGTGGGGATATGTACTTCCCCCTGGGGAAGGGGCAGGACATTTTGGTGAATAGTAATGTAATCTACCACATGTCTAAAAATGTCATTCCTACCCTAGAAGATCTTCATATTCTGATAGATTTGTGTTTGTTTGATTTTTGAAAATATAGTACGTACCATAAGGGAATGGCGGCTCACTTATGTTGACTTTTTTTTTTCTTATTGCAAGGAATCTACTATTACATCTAATAAAGTATAGTACAGAGTTTATGATATATTTGAGCTATCTTTAAAGTTATTTTCCTGTGGCTTAATTTATCAATTATCAGTGGCTTAATTTAACAGTTTATATTCTACAACTGTCACTTTTTGACTTTGCTGTTAAATATTTATTTTTCAAAACCAGACGTGTCTTTTGTCTTCAAAAGGTAAATGGAATCAGTTGTGGGGGAGGATTGGAGAGAAGGGATGAGAGGTGGCAAATGTTATTTCCTCATTAATTTTCTCAAAAAGGTCAGCACTTGCTCACATGGGTGCATCTGTTTAGTCTGAGAAGTTACTTTTTCTCTTGGCCGGAAGCCAGCCTGGCAGGAAGAGCCCAGTGTCACCTTTATAGCCACTCCCTGGCGATAGGGAGCCAGCTTCTCTTCTTTCATCTGGCTGTGGGGGAGGCATGAGCAGAATGGGCTGGGAGGAAAAATTGCCTCCCCGGCTGAATTTTTCCCACCATCAACTTAGGCAGATAAGCTGACGCTCTGCACCTATCTTTTTTGGCAGAAACTCAGATCAGCAGGCCAGTTCCTGACACATACCTCTACGCACATTGAATTGCTTGTTCTGTTTTCCTCTTTCCTCCTCAGGTTTCTCTCAGGAGTAGGCCCCACTTAAGGCTTATCACTTTTGTCAAAAAGAAAACACGTATTTATAGAATGGAATAACTTACGGAAAGAGGGTGTGGGCAGAGTGGAGGAAGAAATGAATCCTGGCTGTTGTCAGTCAACCGTATTTATGGAACCACCCTCCGGATGCCAAGCTTACTGTGGGCAGTTATCAAAGAAGTAAGCTGTGCCCACCTGCTCCTGTTACCCACCCTGCACACAAGACATCATCTGAAGTTTATTTGTGCTGGTACTACCTTTGGCATTCAGCATCCTTTGGATAAAGAGTAATATTCCTGCAAATAAAATAGACAGGTCTAGACCCCATGTGGTGTGAAACTGTGGCATTCCTTGAGAAAGGTAGTATGTTCTCAGTTTCAGATCACATTTTTAATGCGGGAAACAGATATTGTCTCATTGTCAAAATATTTATCAGGACATAATTCTTTTTAAGCAAAGACTGCAGTTTTTAAAAAACAGGTTCACTCCTAGATACCCAATTCGCTGCTTCACACACATAATCGACATCCATGAAATAATTTTTTAAATGATGATGAATGATAAAGCTTGCTCATTTTTAAAAAAATCTCTGACCGCAATACTCAGATTTGTCATCGGGGAAGAGATGCTTTGATTCTGTAGGAAAGCTTGTGCACACTGGGTGGGGAGGCAGCCTTTTTGCTTCTGGCTCCTAACATCTCAGGTCCACCTTGAGGCAAAATTGGCTCCAGCTTATTATCCCTCATGCAATGCTGCTTCTAGTCGTTTGAACAAATTTACCTGCCACCTTAAAACAGAGAATCAACTTGTTGGAGAAGTGAAGTAGGGAATTCATGACCAAACTTCACTTATTTGGCTACCTTGTGAATGAAGAAAGTGTTTTTAAATGTGGACTTAACATTTTCTGAACTCACGTTCACCCTCTGGTACTGAAAATCCACAGCAGTCTTAGGAGAAAAAATGATCATAACTAAGAGCAACCCTTTCTTTTTAAAGAAATGCTTACCCAGATCAGTTAAAAGTCCCTTGGTAGAGCTGAGTCTTCATTTCTTTTCCAGAGTTGAAACTTGTCTCAAAGGAGTAGGGGAGGTTTACAGGCTTGGCGACGGGGGTCTTGTTCATGCCCAAGCGTAGTTTTTATAAATGTTATTTTTCAAGCTATACAGTACTTAGGGGCATCGCGGTGCTGATCTAATTTATCTGGTTCAGTGAAGGTGGGGCAGGAGCAGAGGAGGAAGGATGAAATCAAACTGCGGCATCAGCGCTGAGCTGGTGTTCTAGCAACTTCTTCCTTCGGGACAGATGCTACACATAATTGACTCTTTGCATATCATCAGATTTGGGTTGGCCTCATTGCTTTAAACTTTGAAAATGTTTAAGTATTTACACAAAGAAGACCTGACGATAGTTCTGAATAGCTAAATCTGCCATTCCTTTAGAACTGAAAGAGCTACCATATAATCATAAGAGCTCTCCAGCATTCAGCTCGGGTCGGAGTGGACAAAGATCTTTGATGATCCACAAGGGGTTTTTGCCTTCAATTTGTGGGGTGCATACAGACGACAGAAGGCAGATTTCCTCAAGTCATCATTATTGTAATTTTCAGGGGTTTTATATACAATATATTCCCATATTAAAATTATTAAAATATTAGTAATTTGGTATAACTTTAAAATACTTTAAACAGACTCTTCCTCAGGTGAGATTGTTTTCCGAAGTGTGTTTAGCTGGTTTAAAGTCTTACGTTACGTTCTCAGTAGTCTAGTTCAGGTCTAGGCAGGCCAGAAGACGATGTTCACGCACAGGTCTCTTCTGAGCTGCTCCTACTCCCTATTACTCAGTGTCCTTAACCACATCCCATTCGTTTCGTACCCTTTCTTGGAATGTGACATTAACTCTTGAACAACCCATCACCTAAAACCTGATTTCTTGGGCCAAGGTGAGCAACAGGTAATTCTTTACAAGAAAAGCAAAAAAGAAAAATAAATAAATACTACGATAGAGTAGAATTCATAGTATAAAGTTTTGTGGTTTTTTCCTGCTTTTTCTCCCCAAATCACCCCAGTACATAGTTTTATATTTTAGTTGTGGGTCCTTCTGGTTGTGGCATGTGGGATGCCGCCTCAGCATGGCCTGATGAGCAGTGCCATGTCCGCACCCAGGATCCAAACGGGTGAAACCCTGGGCTGACAAAGCAGAGCGCGTGAACTTAACCACTCGGCCATGGGGCCGACCCCTCACAATATAAAGTTGGAAGGAATAAAAAGTGGCTTTTCTTTTTTCAGTGACTGCAGTCCTGTTAACAGTTTTACTCTTGACTTAAATATAGGGCATGAGTTTGCTAATTGATTTGATCAAATTCTAGATTAGAAATCAGTCATCATATGATTTACCAGAGTTAAGCCTCTTGGGTTAAATTCTCTAATTTGTTTTCTCCCATCTCGTTTATCTAAATCTTCGTTTAAGGGCTGACCTGCCCAAATGCTTTTAGAATGCTCAATGCCAGAAAGCTCAGGTATTTTATTCAGTCTCTCCTCAGTTTTCAGGCTCCTCACCCGAAGTCCGGCTGACCCTTTGGGGAACATAACGTATTTAGCTAAGAATTTTACTTTTGAGCCTCCTCTGATAAGGGTAACTGAACTACTGACAGCTGTCAGATAACATATACGCAGGCTGAATGGTTACTAATTGCAATGAAAGATAAATTAATAATTTTGAACTTTTTTATATTAGCTCTGCCAAAATTACATCGTTAAACTCGAGCTTTATGAAGCATTACTGACCATAGTAAAACAAGTGGGAGCAAAGCCTCCATGGGCACTTGAGTGGGGTTTGACTTCCATACTGACCTGGCAAGGATGGAAATCGTCAAGTCATCATGACAGCAAAGAATCTGAGTCCACGTACGGATTTCCGACGATGTGGCCCATTACCGAAAAAAATCTTAAAGGCCTTAGACCTCAGTCATTGGTACTGGTGAATCTACTCTGTTCTTAAATCTTCAGGGAACACAGATTCTAGGCAATTAGAGATGAAAAATCTGAAACTCCATGATAATCCCTTTCTTCTTTTCCCATGCCTGGTAGATGTTCCTCCAGCCAGAGTTGATTTCTTCTTTCTTTTTCTCTCATCAAGAGCATGAGTTGCCCTCTCCTCTCCTAAGCAGAGCCCACCGCAGTTGCAGCTCAGATCCCGCTCTCTAGCCCTGCCTGCTCGCTCGCGGGCTCCTGCGCTGCTCGTCGTGGAATCTTGCTGTTGACCTTCACGTGTGGGCTCTGCCCTCACCAGTGGAGGGGTGCAGTGCAGGCGCGGGGGATGAAGAAACCCAAAGGCTCTGCCACGTGGCTGTGGTTTGTCTTAGGGACCTCTGGTGTTGCTTAAGCCTCCTGGGAAGAAAGAGAGAACACATCCAAAAAACTGCCTTTGGAAACCTATGATGACATTACATGATAAGTTCTCCCTGAGAAGACACGCAGATTACAGGTAAACACTTACCTGTTGGGTTCCTTTCCTTTTTGAACATCCCGGAGCTCCTGAAGCTAATGTTGGAGCTCCTTAACTGGAGGCAGAGCCTACAAGAGAAGATTAAAAAGGTTTTTGGAAGCTGTTTTCTAGGTGTGTTTGTCTTTTTCCAGTCATGCGTAGCTTCTGTGGAATCTTCTCAGCATGTAACAGAGCTTTGCACAATTCTGTACCCAGTAAAATTAGCCTAATTATTGATTGTTCCCTCTCACCAGGATGGAAACATGAATCAGTTTGTTAACATCTTGCCTCTTTAGTTCTAAAGAGGACAGGGAGTACCATATTGGGTTAGGATAGTGGGTCTAAACCCTGGCTGTGCATCATAGAATCCCCAATGAGTTGTGTTGTTTTTTTTTTTTTTAAATACACTTGCCCAGGCCTCACCCCACACCTATTGAATCAGTTTGCTGAATCTCGAGCTGGGCTGGGTACCCGAATGCTTGTTACCCAGGAGCTCACACCCAGCCTGGTGGAGGATGCAGAGGGGTGGGCATCCAATTACCACATGGCGTTACAAATGCTCTAGGAGGGCCCAGCTTCTGAATGCAAGCCACTGCCATTCACTGAACATCCCGGTGTGCTTGATGCTGTACATATGACTTCACGTTTTATCATCACCTTGCAAGGTATGCCTGCAGTCACTCTTACAGATAAGGGAACCTCAGAGAGGTTGAACTACCCGAGTCTTAAGCCAGCTAGTGGCAAAGCTGAGAGTTAAACACAGGACTTCCAGCGTCAAAGGCTGTGTCTTAAAGCTCACCCACTCCCTCAGGGACTCTTTGTAGTAACTCTTCCTGGTTGCTGAGGCTCTGTCAGTCGCACATTTTATTTTAGCAAACCTCATTTGAATCCACATACCCATGGACCCTGTCAGCCCTTTTCTTAGTATCATGAAATTCTTAATTTGTCCATAACCTATTTTCTCCATTTTTTCTTTTACTCAAAATTTGCATTTTTAAAATAAAACTGTTGGTTTGGTAAAAATAACGCATGTACATTTTAACAAATTTCACCAATATAGAAAAATAGGGAAGATAGAAATAATGCTGGAATTCCACCAAATTGTTGAATAGTTATTTTTGAATAGCAACGTCTTAGCTGTCAAAACCTATTATATTGTTCATTCTCATTATACAAATCTGTATAAAATTTCATTTTTGGAAATTTTTTGAAGCATGATATGGATTGAAATATTAAATTTCTCAATAGTTCTCTGAAGAAAATAGATATATATGTATATATGTATGTAGGTATGTATGTGCGTATCTCTCTTTATAAAGAGGTAAGCAGTTTGCCCAAGTTCAGATAGATGCTTTGTTATTCATAGATTCTTATTGACAGAGCTCAGACCATATAACTGGGGTCTTTGGGCTGATGACCTACTGCTCTGCATCCTTGGTAGCCTATTAATAAGCTGCTTATTATGAATGGGAGAGAGAGAGAATGTAAATCTTGCATGATATTCAGAGAAATGCTGAGTCATAATTTTCGAAATTCAAATATACTCATTTTTTTATATGAAGTTTATTTTTCATTTAAATTTTTTTCAACTCTTATTGAAGCTTATAAATTGAGGGTCTTTTTTACCAGTTAGCTTTTGGAGCTTTTCTTGCCCTTCTGTGTCATGGGTCTTTGCGAGGGATGGAAGGAAGAAGGGGATAAGGGAGTAGCCTAGTTCGGGCCAGTTGAGGAATACCTGAAACCTGATTAAATTTATTTGGCATCGATGACTTGTATTTTCAGTCTCCGTAAAAGACACCCTTTGGAGCAAAAAGAAGCTATTCATCTGAGGGTGTCATCGCTTCATGCCCCTCTAAGACCCTCTCTGAGGGGCACTGTTTTAGGCACGGTGAAAGACAGCTACAAGGATAACTGAGGCATGCATCCTGCCCTGGAAGAAGCTTAAAATCCAGTGGGAGCAGATGATAAATGTGTAAATAATTACTTAGACTTCAAATGAATCTAGCATGCACCTGGAGAGCTGCATAGCAACATCCTAAAAGTTGCATTAAACAACAATAACAACAAACCAATATCTCTTTTAAAAATGCAACTAAAAGAAAACTTCCTTCCCAAAGCACCAATGAGAGCCCCTCTCTAAATCCAAGCGGTGTGCATCCATATAGTCTTTAGTTTAAAGCTTAAATCTCGACTTGGACTTACTCTATGCTCTTGAGCAAACTATTTAACTTTTTTATTCCTTAATTTCTAAATTATGCAATGGCAATGGAACCTAACATGAATGTTAAAGAAGTTGGCATTGTGTAAGATACTCTGGGGTCTGAAAGGTGCTGCTAAGGGCGGGCAGCAATTAGGATCGCTAGTGTCTAGACCCTACGAGCCCCCAGAGGTGTCTCTTCTTCGGTAGCACATTCCTGCAGATTAGTGATAAGAGCTAGATTTCTGCACAGAGGACAAGACTGCTACTGTCGTGAGAAAGATTTGTTTAAACATATTTTTTCAGTACATTTTCCTAAGTCCTTATCAAGTAGTGCCCCCAGATAAGAACTGGTATTTAGCTATAAGCCAAAGGTTGAGAATAGGAAAAATTTAAATCTCTAAGAACTTGAGTCCAACAAAAATGCTGGCTGACAGCCTGACTGAGGTGAACTAGACGTTGCCTCCAAGTTTCCCAGAAAAATTGTTTATTACTGGGCAAGACTCAAGCCTCCGTGTTTTCATTTTTCTTTTCCCTTAGTCCACAGGAAACTTGCGTCTTGAGTCTTCTGATAGTTATCTGTCGTGCAAATTCTATATTTCTCCTTGCCTGCTTCTGCAAAGAATGCCTAGAAAAGACCAGAATTGAGATTGTTTAATCATTTTTTTTAAAGTAGTGTTTTGGACACATCTCTGCCTTTCCCTGGTTTTGTTAACTAAAATGGCCCCCATAGAAATATCCTGAAATAGAGTTCCTCAAACAAGTCTTCATAATAAAATGAATGGAAAGAAGTTTCAGGCCTCTTTGGCTAAACGTGGACCAGTGCTTTAAAAGGATCTGTCTCCTGAGTGTGTTGGTTTGAGGGTGATGCTGTGTATTTGAAGATGCTGAGAATTTGGCCCTCTTTCTAGACTGCTCATATCGCCTTCCACTCAGTTCATTTCCCGGTTTAACCACTCTCTCTTGCCCCAAATTATCATTTTCATCCTGAACCTCTTGTGCCCATCCTTAAATTACTTAAGAAACTTCCCTGGATCCCGTTCAAGTTTCTGGACCACCCTTTTAATTTCTTGTATTCTGTATATGTTAACCCATTTTCCCAATCTCTTCTCTTTCAGACTTACTCCTTTTACTGTTCTATGTAGCTATTTTTGTCTTTTTTCATTCTTGTTTATTTGATTTGCTCTTTCCTTGGATCATCCTGTCCTACTCTTCATTTTATGGAAAGTCTACCCAGAGTTACGTGACAGATGAAGACAGAGCCTGGGTAAACCCCAGTCTCCACTCCCTCCTGTTCTTCTCTCTAAACCATGACGTCCCCTTAGAGAACCCAGCATCACTCAGGTTGGTGGTGGAAGCCCTCATCTTTGACCCCCAATTCTTACTCCCAGTCCGGGACCTGCTCTCCCCTCCAATTCAAGCTTGTGCCTTGGCGAGGAAACCTCCTTTTCCTATTGTTCCCTGTTAATAAGTTTGACCAGCAAACGTCAGGGTATTCCAGGAGATCTAAACATTGGTCTCTTCTCTCAAAGATGCTCTTTGATGATGCCGAGGGTATTTTTGCCCATAATGAACAACCCTCCCATTCTGAAGTCGCCCGTCTTCCATTCTGTTTGGTTCCGTTGTAAAGTTGCTTCCTGGAGCCTGCCTTCAATCTTTTGCTGTGAAAACATCATGTCATCCCAGCTAATATTTCGGTTTTGTTGTAGATGTGAATTTCAGGGAGACCAAGGGTGGGTGTGTGGGATCTGTGTACTTGTTTAAGCATAAATACATCATGTTCTGAACTGGTGTTTTTGTCTTTTCTCCCCTTTCTATTTTCTGCAGGCTTCGTAACCAACCCTCAGGAATTTAGGGCCAAGTAGGGCCGGGGCCAGAAGTTAGCGGTGTTTATTTATTCACTGAGTAAAGATTTATTAAGTGCCTGATTTGTGCACAGCCCTCTGCTAAATGAAAAATTACAAGAAAAGGTAGAAGACACAGGATCTTACTAAAGGAGTTTTCAGAATATTTATATCAAAAATAAGCCTAATTATTATGGGCACAGAGCTTTTATAGTATACAAAACACTTTTAAAATACAGTTTCTTGTTTTCATTTCTTCAGTAATCCTAGAGAAAGTATTTTCTGCATTTTATTGGTGAGGAATTGAAGCTGGGAGAGGTTCTTTCCTGGCTCTGGAAGCCAGAGAAACAAGTGGACAGAGGCTTCGCCCCAGCTCCAGCCCGCTTGTCCTGACCTGCTCCTGGCTGCAAGTCCTGAGTGCCTTGTCCCCCGTGTGCTTTCATTCCCTGCCTTTGGTCACCTGTTGGACCCCTGTCTTGCTTTTTGGACTTTGATTTCTGTTTTACCCTCTTCCTGGGTTTTTTTATTCTCGGCTGCAGACCCTGAATAACTCCTGGGATGGGCCTCACGGTAGATGAGGGTTCCTGTGTTTCTGTTCCCAGATGCACGTATTTTTATGCGTTAACATATCTGAAATTGGGATGCATCTTACAGTCTCCATTGAAGTCCACTGCTTTCCAAGAGTTTGCCTCTGCCAGTCACTTGGGGCACTACCAAACTGAGACCAAGGGTCAGAGTCCCTGCCTGAGGGCATTCGGACCACTCTGGTGGCAGGAATTCAAAATGCACACCCACCCCGGTACTGGTTGAGGTTCAAATTCTCAGGGAAGATTCCCTCCTCCCTCGTCTCGCTACCAGCCCTTTCTGCATGGCGAGCTTATTTCTCTGTTGCTTTTTGGTGCCCCAGCTTCATGGGGGGCCCCCTCTGTTCAATTCCCCATTTTGGATGCTTTTGCTTTCTTCGTGGTACATAAAATAGTTTCCCTCTTGTGATGGGGACATCTCAAACTTGATGAAACATGGCATTATGTGGTGGCAGTTGCTCTGGGTGGCTGTTGGTGTTGCCTTGCGTAGCATTTTTTGGCTTCAGAGGAATACGTAGGTGTTCCTTGCTCCCCACCCCCAGGCTGAGGCTTGCTCACCTGCTAAGACAAAAGCCAGAGCGTATCGCCATTCACTCTCCCTTCCTCCCGCCTCCCTGGCAGCTGCCTAACTTGGTTTCTTGCTGGTTGCACACATGCGACAGAAATACAATGTTAATAAATATTTCTACATGTAATAAAGAAACAAGCCATAAAAGTAGTCATTTGCCATCTGCTCAGATGAGTTGCTGAGAAAAGCGATGACATTTTCTGATTCAGTAACTTAACTATTCTCGTTTCTCCTGTGAGGCACGTCATAGACAAACAAATAATAAATATCCAAACACATGTCATGGGAGAAAATGCATTGGTTTCTGAAGCAAATATGGATAACAAACGATACCTGCTTCTCCCTTCTCCCAGTGAAGGGCCAGAACAGCACTACTCAATTCTCGCTCGGTCACAGTGTTTCATTGTTGCCATCGACAGCACAGACATGTCAGAGGCAGCACCTCCTATGTATCTATAGAGAATGGATATAGCAAAGTGGAGAGATGGGCCAGTGGACTCCAGAGCCTGTGTTTGGGGAAAGTGTTGTAAACAGCGACAATAATAACAACTTACTGAGTGCCTTCTATATGTCAGGCACTGTACTAGGTACTTTGCATATATTAGCTCATCCGTTAGTGGAATGTGAATGCTCATTTTAAGAACAAAGGGAATAATAATAGGAATAAAAGGTAATAGTTAATCTAAAGTGCAGAAGGGTTTCAGGTGGAAGGCGAGACAAGGGAAGTGAGAGCGGCTGCGGAAAACTTAGTTAAGATCTGGCTGTTGAAGGTCGTCTAAGAAAAAGGCGGAGTGAGGGTGTGACTGGTTGGTGGGAGCGAAGTCGTGGTCTAGGCGGCTGTAGGGGGGATGTGTGTCTGTTGTTTCCATTCGGTGTTAATATGTCTGCGTCCCACCCACCCACAAATATTTTCTTACTTTTTTGCTTTGAGGAAAAGGGTATTAATTCACGAATTGGAAGCAGATTAAATACACAGTACAGTTTGTGCCCAGCAAACAGAATTATGTATGAAAGTTATGTGGCCCACACAAAAATGAAATGCTGTATGGCCTCATTAGTACCCCCGGTTTCATGGGTCTTCCTCCTGGTTAAGGGATAGTATAGGCAGGAGAGTCTCATGGTCTCCACAGTGTCCACCGCAAGTTCACGGCTTCGCCTTTCCTCTCTCTCAGAGGACTGTGAACTCTGCCCTGGTGCTCCACAGCCCTACACTGCCAGGCTCCGTGTGTGTGCCTCCAGCCCACACTGCCCTTTTGATCCCCACCACTGCTGTACACTTCCACGATGGAACGACTCCTGAGAGTCTCCTTGCTCTCACATTCCCCCTTCACTAGGCAAGTCGTTTTCCTCTCTTCAGCCAGAGCAGTCGTTCCTAAAAACTAACCCAGTTCTGTGGCTTTGGATCTTGGGTGGCTTTCAATGACTGCCACTGCTTTCAGAATACAATCCAGACTCCTTAGCTTGGCCCTACAAAGCCCTTAGACATCCATCCTTGCATATTTACTTTTCCCACAACTCCCTCATACACATCCCATCCTGTGGTCTCTTCTTGCCTTTGCACCTGCCACATGTCTTCTCTGAAGACTGTATTTCCTCCCCTTCAGGGCCACCTTACTCATCTTTAAAACCCACTTCAAGAGTGATGTTCTCTGATAACCCTTTCCCACATCCCAGTTTGGGTTACCCACCATTCCTCTGTTTCTGTAGCTCTCAGCTCACACCAATAGGATTAGTATTTAACATAGAGTGAAGTTACAGTACGTCACAATAATTTTCCTTCCATCACTCTGCATTCCGTGAGCAAAAAGGCTGTATCGTTGCTCTCTGTCTCCCTAAGATGAGCACTGTATCTAGCCCTTAATAGCCACTTAATAAAGATTTGATCAAAAAAGGGAGATGTTTGGCCCTCAATTTAAGGATGACTAGTCGTTGGTCAAGCCTTAGAAAGTAGCAATGAACTTGTATTGCAGTCAGATTTTGTGTTTTCCTTTAACATCAGATATTGGCAGCCAGCTTTTCTAGATTTTCTTGGCCAAAAATACTCCTGAAATTCCATACTCCTAGTTTTTGATCTCTGGGATGATGCATCCACAGCATGTAATTACTTGTCTGGATGATTGTGCTTTACCTTGGGGTTCTAAGAGAAGAGGTCAAAGAAATCAATGGTTTAGTAATTGTATTGTTAATCTTAAAAGGAAACTTGAATGGGAAATATTTTAAAAACTGGTTCAAGAACATAATTATTGGGAGCATGGAGAAGATAATTACTTGCTATGTATACTTGTACTGGTGTGGATGGAGGTTTCATGCAAAATAAAACAGCTTGTAATTTTTTTTCTTTTTTTTTTTTTTTTACAACTTCTACTTTCATCTGCAGATTTAGCAAAGCTTCAGGGCAAAAGGCATGGCCTTCCTTTTGGATGGGGCTTTTAGAATGAATTCTGAAGCTGCACATTGACTGTGTGTGTGTGTGAGGAGGGGGAGGGAATCTCCATTCTGATGAGCTGCACTGAGGGTTTAACCGGGAGCTGATTGTCCGGGCAGGGTGCCTGGGTGCCTCATCAGAAATGATCATGAAATGTGCGTTTGCGCACAGCAAACAGGCCGAGGCAACACGGCTCTTTCTCTCCACGTTATGAGCTTCTATACCATTTTCTGCCCAATCTTGACTTTTTTACACACTCATTTTTAGTGTCCCATAAAAAAATCATGGAATGAAAGATTTTATGGACTATTAATAAGTAATAATACTTACCACTCTTTTTCCTGCCATTTAGGTTGCTATCAACAGCGCCACTCTTACTCGTAAGACTCCTAATTAGTAAAGTTTCTTTACCCATAGCATAAAATCCAGATTGCTGAACCCAGCCTATGAGCCCTCAAGAATTATTCCAACTCATCTTTCTAGTCTTAGTGTTTGAATATGTTTTAGGTGCAAGTAAAACCCCAAATCAAATTGCCTTACACAGTAAGGAAAGTTCATCTTTTTCATAACTTAAGTCCAGAGAGCAGCCTTTGAGGTTGGTTCAGTGGCTCAGTGATATCATCAGAAGCCCAGGTTCGTACTGTCACTCCACTCTGCTATCCACTGTCTGCTGGTACATCCTCTGCATGGTGACAAAATGGCTGCAGAAGTGCCAAGCATCACATCCAGACAGGGCATTGCGTGTCTCTTAGGAGTGAGGAAACTTTTCCCAGAAGTGCCCTAGAGAACATCTCCTTACATTTCATTGACCACAATTGAGTCACATGTCCTTTCCTAAACCAGTCACTGGCCAGGGGAATGAAGTTACTATGGTAACCAACCTGGATAGAACATAGATGGAGAGTCAACCATCGAGACTACAGGGTTTTCCTACTTCCCAGTGTGTACCCCTCCTCCCCACGCCCACCCCAGTCCATTTTGGCCTCCCCATGGTGACCATAGAAAGCCGTGTGCCTACCTGTCACCAAACCTCTTCTCTGTCCCTCTTGATCTTAGGTGCCTGCGCCCAAGTCGTCACCCATGTTCCCTCTGCTCCATGGAACTTTCCTTGTCCATTGTCTGTTCTGCTCATTTGGCACCTTTGTGAAGGTCACATCTCCCCATGGATTCCGAGGTCCTTGGGGTATGTCTGTACTTCTCTCTATTCCCCAGTGCACTTTTCAGAGAACCACAGACCCTGACTTTATTTGTGCAAACTCATTCCCCAAAATGTTACTAAGACTATTATAACCCAGAGAAGGAAGTGTTCTTACCTCCTGTCCATATAAGCCCGTTTGAGCCTGGAGCCAGTCCTCAAAATAGAATAGCCATCCCTTTCTATTATTAGAAAGCTAAGAATTCCATATTAGTAGAACAAGAAAAAGTCAGAGTGGCCTTCACAATTTATTAATATTCTTTCTCCATGTGTTCACTCACATCCCTCTTTATCCCTTTTATAAGGAATCACAAACTGCATGGTGCATATAGGCTTAGATTTTCTTAGTTTCACTGTTTTCCAATACTCTTAGACAATGATCCTCAGTCCTCACTGTGCATCAGAATTATTGGAGGAGCTTTGTAAAAATATGCATATCCAAGCCTTATATTCAAAGATTCGGTGTCAACTGGTCTGGGGTGGGGCTCAGTCTGTTTTCATAAAGTGGCATCTAGGAGTTTCCCGGGAGATCCTAATGGGCAGCCGGGTGGAGAACTCCACGCTTAGACATCCATTTGCCAAACTCTTCTTGGTGAGAATGATCAGAATGATTTACAACTTCTCAGGATTCTTGTCCAGCTTGTTGCCATATCTTCTTGTTTCTCGTCATTGACACGTCTAACCACAGAGACAGGTGCTTATTTCTTGTGTGTTCTCTTTTTGCTTTTCCCCACCTGGACTGTAGGCATCTCCTCATTTCCCTTTTGCTCCACAGCATTCAGGGCGGGAGTGAGGACGTCCTGGAAGCTCAGTCCTTTTCCATCAGCAGAGTAGTTGTGCCCAGATCCTGAGCGTTCCCTGTCAGCTTCATCCTAGCTGTGCCTTCTGTTCTGTAAGCTCTCACTCGAGCCTCCGTCTTCCTTTGGGTCCAGGAGTCCAAGCCTCTTCAGACTTCCCCGGCCCTTCTCAAGTTCCCTGTTCAAAACTTCGCACCTTTCAGGAATATTTATCTAGTGCTTTATTTCATCCAGTTACATGCCCCTTTTTGACAATTCCTACTTTATTCCACTCTTCCAATAACTCCTTAATTTCACTTTCATCAGAACAAAACTTATCCTGGCTAATTGGAATAGTCCTCTCAACCTCATTCTTTCTCAAGTTTGCTATTCCCAGGTCTTCTGTTTTCTTCAGACACTACCAACTATTCTTATTATCTCTACACAAGAGCGATGTGAAAGCTTTTGTCTGAGAACTTGTTGAATGTTCGTTTGTCTATCTTGCCTTTCTTCATCTAGGATAATACTTTCTTTGTTTAGAAAACAGAGGGTAGCTTGGTACCTATTTAACCCACTTTGGATGATTCAACATTCATTTGATTGTGAGTCATGATGCCTGGTACCTGATGTCATAAGTAGTGTTTCCTGCAGGAGTGGCTCTTAAATTTTAGAATGCATCAGATTCACTGGGAGTACTTACTCAAACACAGACTGCTGGGCCTGCTCCCAAGGAGTTCTGATTCAACAAGTCTGGGGCGAGGCTTGAGAATCTGCCTTTCTGTTAAGTTCCCTAGTGAAGGTGATGTCGCTTATGTGGGGATCGTACTTTGAGAATCACTGTCCTGTGGAACCAAGAAACCCAGGAATTTCAGATTAAATGTTTAATGTCAAAATATTTAGAATTTTTAAGATAAGTGCTGTTTAGATACATTTCCTAATAGTGAGTATGGAGAGTATTTCGAATGGAAGCCCCAATATTGCATAGATTTAAAAAGGAATTTTTAAATTGGGACAGATGGGAAATTGCCATAAGCATAAGGAAAATTAATGTTTTTCATAACATAAGTCTAAAGAACAGCTTTTAGAGTTGGTGATTCAGTGGCTCAATTACCATCGGAGACCCACATTCTTACTGTCATTCCATTCTGCTATCTGCCATGTGCAGGTGTGTCTTCAAACTGGCTCTCCTTGGTGGCAGAATGGCTGCAGAAGTGCCAAGCATCACATCCAAATCACATGCAGATACACACTGTTCTGTGTATCCTAGTTTATGTAGCAACAGTAACTGTTTGGGAAACTGAAATTGAAGATTCAGAGGTTCTTATAAAAGATAGTGATTAAGATATGAGGACAGCGGTCATTGAGGGGCAAGTTAATTTAGCTATGTGCTCTCCATCATTAGTGGTGGATTAAGACATTGCTCATCCAAGCAGTGTACTGTTGTGGCTATTCCTCCACCTGCACTGTAGTTATTTGAGGCTTTTCATCAACTTCTTAAACATCTTAATACTTTCAGGGTATATCACAGAATCTTCTAATAACAGTGATTCTTCTGGCAAAGCAGTATCATGAGGAAAGATATTAGGCTCATATGACTGTCTAGAACCCTGGTCTATCCAACGTGAAACTGCCAATGAACCCACCCTCTTTCTCAGAGGCTAGTTGCAAACAGGACTTGAGCAAATGGGAATGAGCAGTGAGCGCGCTCTCATAGGCCCCCTGCTCCTGCTGCAATTCTTTTTTTTTTTTTTTTTTTTTTAAGATTTTATTTTTTCCTTTTTCTCCCCAAAGCCCCCCCGGTACATAGTTGTGTATTCTTCATTGTGGGTTCTTCTAGTTGTGGCATGTGGGACGCTGCCTCAGCGTGGTCTGATGAGCAGTGCCATGTCCGCGCCCAGGATTCGAACTAACGAAACACTGGGCCGCCTGCAGCGGAGCGCGCAAACTTAACCACTCGGCCACGGGGCCAGCCCCATCCTGCTGCAATTCTTGCCTCTGATGTCAGTAAGGCCTCCTCGGCTGAAGTCTCACTTGCACCGTATTAGCCACTTCTGTTTTCCCCTCTTCTACACCTTTCCCGTGGTTTTGCTCTCTTGGCCACCATCTTGCATTTCAAGAAGGTAATGGTAGCTTGGCCCCCTCTGCTGTGTCAGAGATGTTCTGGTTTTGTTCAGGATAAGCATATAAACAGTCTCAGAGAAATATTTCCTGACCAGTGGTACTCAAATTACATTGTTGACACCAGCTCTGTAAAGTGTCCCAATGTGTCCTGTCAACTAGAGGCAGATTATTTGGCAAAGAATGTGTCGGTTCTTAACTCCTGAGTTCTGGGCAAACTTTGAGTGGTCCATTGTTTTGCAATAGATTGACTTGGTTGTCTTTCATAAACTTGTTGAATTTGACTCTGCCGTTGAGGGGGTACTTGGTTCCTTATCATTCTCTTCTGTAGATTCCTCTCATCATGGAAGCAATGTGAGTACTGGAATTTCCTCTTCGACTGGTCCAGGGAGTGATTCTTCTCTCTGCCATTCAGCCTGACTGTGCCACGCCAGGAACAGACAGAAAATGGGACATAACAATGTCCACAATTTAGGGGCATTTACTTCTTTTAACCTAAGACTGAGCAAATGGATTTGACTACATTTATTTTTGTGTATTTTAATAGAGTCACCTAAGCAAACTTAATGATTTAGAAGATTCATAAAATGCATAGTAGGTGAAAAAAACAAATCTCAGTGTAAGTCCTACATTCCTACAGGAGCCCATCAAAATACTCTCAAGACGCATTTTCCTCCCCAGGTCTGACGCTAAACACTGTTTCACCAGGCTTCAACAGGTCTCTCCAAGCTGTCATTTTACTTGAGCTAGAATTACATTCTGCACTATTTTGCTTAAATAGGCACCTCCCTTTTCATTTTCTCTCATTCTTATCATTGGCAGTAATCAGTTTCTCAAGAGCCCACCTTCTCTCCATATGCAGATTTAATCTTGGATGATTTTACCAAAGAGCCCCACGCCCTTCTGCCTTCCTCTGTGTGTGTGAGTGTGTGGGTCTGTCTCATGTTCTAGGTAAGGCCTCCAGATCTCGTTGTACCCAGCTTCATCTTAGAATAACTGTAGCCCTGAGGCAGGAACCCGGTCGCTCTCCTCCCTACCCCTATGCTCTGTGAAATGTCAGACTCTTGGCAGCTCCACTGCGTCCCAGATGCTCCTGCAGGGCAAGTCCATCTGAACGGAAACTCCTTTTGGGGGTACTTATCAGCATTTCTAAATGTCCACCTGTGCTGCAATGAAATTTTAAAAGGGAGTGCTGGATTTTGATGTCGGTTTTTAATTGGTGTTTCCAGGAGCCATCAACAGCCCAAACCAATTTTCCGTTTACACCAATGATACTGCAAACCTGAAACATGTAGTCCTGTGTGTGGGGGAAAGCCCTGCAATGGTGAGAAATGTCGCCGTGAGAAACCAGGTTCCCCACGGAAGTGATAATTAATGCAATTAGATGTGGGCAGCGTGTTTAGGGGGAATCTGGGTGTGCCCGTGTATCCTCAGTCTTTATCGCACAAAGCAATGAGAGTCTTTACCTGACTGTGGTTCCTTCATGGGAATCCACCTTATCGCATGCTTGCTTTGGTCATTGGGAGTAAAGTAGAACATTCGGTGGTAATCCTCCCTTTTTCTTAGTATCTTTTATATCCTTTCCAGGAGTTGGGTTTGTTTTGTGAAATAGCTAATGAGATTGTCACCACTACCATCATTAATACATAAATGGAGAAGTGTTCAGGGTGTTCTGAGCACTGGGATTCCAAAGAATGTTAAGGTATATGGCCCCGCACTTAAGGGACTTGGAGCAGAGCCATCCTCAAGTCCTCACCTTGGGAAGGCTCAGCCCGTGCCCTCGTTGATGGAGAAGTGATTCCATAGAAAGTCACCCACGAGGCTTTCTCTGCCTCTCTTAGACCTTACTTTCTTGCTGTTTCTTCTGATACCTTTTCGCCATATCTTAACCTTCCCCTACCTCCCCACCTGATCTTTATCCTACTTGTTTTTTTAAATAACAGTTTTGAGATGTAGTTCACATACCATCCAGGTCACCCGTTTAAAGTGTACAATTCCATGGTTTTTAATATATTCACATAATTCTGCAACCATCACCACAAACAGTTTTAGAACATCTTCATCACCCCAAAAAAGAAAACCCATACCCACTGGCATCATCCCCATTTCCTCCCAGGGCCCCCAGCCCTAGAAGGCCGTTAATCCGCTTTGTCTCTTTTGGTATGCTTTCTCTTTCGGAGGGATGTGAAGCCCACGTACTTAGTCTGAAAGGTTGAACTCAGATGACCCGTTGGCTAGGATTTCTCAGAGGGTGAAACCGCTTACTTCTGATGCAGCAGTTGCTGGACTCTGTCTGTTTCCTCACCATGCTTCCTGACGTGTACCTCTGTGCCGTGATAGAGTGAATGGCCCCGGAACAAATAGGTCTGCAGAACACTGCGTGGTTAACCCATCCGTTTGTGCTGTCCAAGGGTAGTGGGAGAGAATAGCCTTCCTCTTTGAGGGCAACCTGCAAAGACCCGTTTCCGTATGCTCTCTCAGCTTAAAAAGTAGACATTATCTTTACAGCAACTTCTCAGAATTGATTTACATTTGGGCAAACTACAAACTGGAAAGAGGAGAGTGGAGTTTAGTGGCCGGTCTGGTTTTGAACAGGTGTTTGATTTTGCTAATCTCAGTGGTGCCTAAGCTCGCTTTTGTAAATTTTGAACCCCAAATTCCTGGTTCATGGACACAGCCACCAGAACAGAGAGATCGTTTGCATTTCCGTGAATGGCCAGCTGATAGAATTCACCATCATTGAGGGGGAGAAAAATTCAAGCTAGACAAGAACTTTTTTGGCAGATTCTTATTTGAAATTTGTTTGAATTTCTAAAGGCAAATTAATTTCTCTATGTCATTCACAGTAAATAGGTACTTGTCACCTTTCTTTTTTCTCTTCCATCTCGAGAGTTTCTACTATAGATGGAAGAAAGTTAGTGCTTCCTTTTGGTATTTTGAGAGTTTTATTTTTGTGCCTTTCCTTGGCAGCCTTTCCTCTCTGTAAGCCAGTCTCGAAGTGATGGCGAGGGTGAGTATTCCTGGTGTTCTAGAAGGTTTTTTTAATACATGTTTACGACTGAGTAAATTTATCTTTTCTTCTTTTACTTTATAGCCCTATATTTAATATGTTATGAGCCTTTTTATAGACAAAACAAAAAAAGGGGAAAGCCTATTTGGAAATGTGAAAGTATCAAAGGAAAGGTCATTTTTAAGCATCTGGTTAAATCACAATTTGGAGAGATCTTACACTTCAAAACAAAAGTTTTGGACCATAGATCTGTTGAGAGGGGGGTGACAGGACTGTCACCATCTCCATCTTCCTTTGAAATCTCATACAAGTTTGGGTATGTGTCTCTCTATATATCTGCATTTTCTGGTGATAAGGTCCATAACTTTCATAAGCTTTCAAAGTCAATGCCTTAAAATATGTTTTTGATGACTAGCTTTTACTGTATTTGTTTTAAGATCTGCTCTTTGCTATTTAAAAACAACTTTCAAGATTAGTTAACTCTTTAAATGTTTCTTTTGCAGAATAAGATCCTTTTTGCAGTACGCTTTGTTTGTTTAATTTATTGTCCATTTAAAATTTTGATCCAAATTCTAGGGAACTTCTCCCAGGAGAGTATGGTTTAAAAGTAAAGGATATTAACATAAATGAACTAGACTTAGCTTTGATTTTTTTTTGCGTGTGGGAGAATGTATGTTCTAGTGCAGTCTGTGATGTGTCGTTAGATGGAAGATGCATCATTCTTTACCATAGTTGAATTGGTTCATCTTCATGCAATGTCTGTGGTAAAGACAGTCTTTTTAATCTCTGTATTCAAGGGAACAGAAGTAGATTGGATCCTGGCTTGGTGAGTCTGGAGACTGAGCTATATTGTCTTCCGGGAAAGCAGTTAAACAGAGCACAGATTTTAAACTGATGTGGTCACTATGATGTCAGTCAAGATAATAAATACCTAAGATTTTTGTGTATGTGGTACTCTTTTGAGAAGAAGCATCAATCACCATTAACCTAGGTAAAAAGGAGCTGAATTCTACTCTGAAATTTTTAAGAGTTTAAGAATTAGGCCTTAAGTTAATAATCAATGAAATAAGGGAGGTCACGTTTTTAAGAAGTGAAATCCTTAACATTTAACAATTAGTGTATACTCATTGGTCTGTGCCACAAAAACAAAGCAGAGGGTTAAGAAAGTATTTCATGATTTGACCACAAATTACGGTTTTGGCCTTAATGATCTGGGTTGGCCACAAATTTAAATGTTTATTTCAGCAAACATTTACGTAATGTTACCGTGTGCTGAGCACTAGACTAGACTTGTGCAGGAATAACAGGAAGACTAAAGCATGATGGTAGACTCCTTGAGCCGGCAGTGCAGGGCCGAGCGGACGCCTAATAATGTCATTGCTTCACTCTGTTTTATTTTTGTTTTTCTAAGTTTGTTTAGGATACCTATTTTGACAGTCATACAAACCTTTGGAAAATGTGAATATCACCTGAATATCACCAGGCGTCACGACGAAGTATTTTTAAAATATGTGAAAATAAATTGTAGTAAAAATGTAGGTTATATTTCTCCATCAGAAAATAAGCTATTCCAGATAACTGAGCTTTCCAAATGGCACCGGATTTGT